CGGCCGTGATGCGAGCGTGGCGGGAGGAAACTTCTGCGCCACCTTCCAGCCAAGTCCCGTTCCCGCCCGTCGTTGTCCTCCCGCACCCTGGCGGTGCTGGGACTTACAGGGAGTTGGGCCACCTTAGGCAGGAGGGAGGGGCTTGGCAGCAAGGGAGGGACTAAGGGGGGCGGAGTTCCAAGGTCCAGCTGTTTGTTGGGGACACGACCAACAGCGTCCCTGAGTCTTACGAAACACACAAACACGCGTGTGTGACCGTGGGCATCTGGCAAGTACTGAGAGCTCGGTCACCTAAAGCCCCTATCGCAAAACGAATACTTAACGTGCGATTTCCAAAGGCTACCCTAGTCGGTTTTAGTTTATAATAGAGAACTAGAAGTCAAGGAGGTGGGAGAGGGGCAGATTAGAAGACTCAAAACAATACTTTCTCCCTACCTGGTTCCTCTCATCTTCTCTCTGTTAAAACTCTCTCGGCCTTTCTTTCCTTTCTTCTACTGCTTACAACTAACAACGGCAGCGATCCCTCGCTTCCTTATCAGCTTCCCCCATCAAAATGATGTGCAAGAACTTTCTGGGGTTGGTATAATAAAAACTGAAATTCAAAGCTCACTTTTGCTACTGACTAGTTCTGACCTTAGGCCAGACAATTCACTTGTTTTGATCTCTAGTTTTCTTATTAAAACGAAAACAATACACAACAAAAACAGATGGGTGTGGTGGCACATTGCTAGGCTGAGGCTGGGGGATCAAGAGTTACAGAAGAGCCTGGGCTGCAGTGCAAGACCCTGTCTAGAATTTAAAAAGACACCCACAGAGCTGATGTTTAATAGTCCCAGGGATCCCTGCAGAAAAAAAAAAAAAAAAAATCCAAGCACCTCAGCTACTACTGCAGAAGGCTTCCATCTGCTATCTCCTCTCTACTACGATCCATGGATTTGTCATTTTTACTCCTTCATCCCTGTGGTTTTCTTCTTAATGCCCTTTTCCCAGTTCAAGGCCAAGCTCAGTTCAAGGCCAAGTTTAGTGTCTACCAGCACCCTGGAAGCTGACCTGAACAGCATCAATGGGACCTTCCCATGAATCTCTGAACAAATCTCTCTCACAGGACATCTCTCCCACTAGTTTGTGCCCAGCTTTAGAAGAAATGGCTTGGAGGATGGATTAAACACTCATAAAGCAAGTCCATTCATTAGAGAAAAATGGGCTGTGAACTGCAGCTCAGTACTAGAGGGCTGGTCTAGCAAGTTTAAGGGCCTGGACTTAACACAGGAACCAGGTGTGGTGGCCCACACCTTTAATCGTAGCACTGTCTCAAACACCTTTAATCCCAGGCAGAGGCAGGTGGATCTCTGTATACAAGGCTAGCCTGGTCTACATAGTGAGTTCCAGGACAGCCAGGGCTACGGAGTGAAAACCTGTCTCAAAAGCAAAGCAAAACAGAAACACTGGGAAAAGGCAAGCAAGAGGAAAAGAGAAACACAGGAAAGATAGAGGCTGGGAGACTGCTGCTGAGGAACAGGACAGTGTGGCTTAATGAATAATCCTATTTTATGCTCCCCAAAGGAGCAGTTACATATGCCAAGCAGTTTCCTCCATCCATAAGCCCATTTATCTGGACAAATAACAAACCTTTAAGGTGAGTCTGAGAAATAAAATTAATGATGACACTTTAATGTTTTAGTTCTAAAGAAAAACTCTAAAAAGTTTTGCTCCATGGAACCTTTTAGAACCTAAGGTCCAGCCGGGCGTTGGAAGTGCATGCCTTTAATCCCAGCACTCGGGAGGCAGAGGCAGGCAGATCTCTGTGAGTTCGAGGCCTGCCTGGTCTATAGAGTGAGTGCCAGGATAGGCTCCAACGCTACACAGAGAAACCCTGTCTTGGGGGGCGGGGGGAGAACCTAAGGTCCTTGTGCCACTTCTCTGATACTTCCCAGAAGACTGATTGGGTCATGTGCCTATCAGGTGGGAAGGGTGCCTCTGCTGTTCCTTCTGACACAGGAAAATAGGGAAAGGGCAGTTCCACTCATACAGCCTATGCCTATGCCCAGGAATCCCTTTCAACAGGATAGGATCTAGAATCATTTAGTAAACAAATATCCAGGCATGTCTGTGAAGGAAGTTTTAGATTGGCTTAGAGAAAGTGAGAAGACCCACCCTAAGTACAGGCAGCACTATTGCATATACCAAGCACTACTTTGGATACCAGGACTCTGGATTGAATAAAAAGGAGACAATTGGTTGGGGAGCAGTCATCCCTCTCTACTTCTTTTTAAGTTACTCTTGATATTTAATAGTTAATACCTCCCTTCTTGACTGGAGAGGCAATGCAACCAACTGCCTCGTGCTCCTGCTGCCATGACACCTTTGCCATGATGGGCTGTATCCTTGAACTGTAAGCCTAAATAAAACTTTCCTTCACTAAGTTGCTTTTGTCTTGTGTTTTGTTAGAGCTACTAGAAAAGTAACTAATTCAGGATAAGAACAATATTTTGTCTAAATAAATCCACCTCTTTTGATACTTTGGAACATTCTTTTTTTTTAATTAGAAACAAGCTTTTTTCACATGACAATCCAGTTCCCTGTCACTCCCCTCTTCCCCTGCCCCCTCCTCCATCCCAACTCCTTTCTGCTCCCCAGGGAGGGTGAGGCTTCCATGGGGGAATCCTTTTCTTTTCTCTTTCTTTCTTTCTTTCTTTCTTTCTTTCTTTCTTTCTTTCTTTCTTTCTTTCTTTCTTAGATAGGTATTTTCTGTGTAACAGCCCTAGCTGTTCTAGAACTCACTCTGTAGACTAGACTGGTCTCGAGAAGCTCACAGAGATCCACCTGCCTCTGTCTCCTGAGTGCTGGCATTAAAGGCATGCACCACCACTGCCCTGCTTGAAATTATGTTTTAATATTGGTGCATAAATTATATCTATCTATGGAGTACCCAACAATATTTTGATATGTAACATCCTGGTAGGAATGAAAAGGTGCTTCAAAAGTTTACTGGGGAGAGGCAAGAGATGTACTCAGTGGTAATACTTGCGTAGCATGTGTGAAGCCTTTGGTTCCATTCCCAGCACAGTTAAAATAATAATTATAGCCAGGCGTTGGTGGCTCATACCTTTAATCGCAACATTTGGGAGGCAGACTTATCTCTGTGTTCCAGGTCAGCTTAGTCTACAGACGGAGTTCCTGGACAGCCAGGGCTACACAGAGAAACACTGTCTCAAACAAAAACAAAAATAGACTCCTGCTGAAGATTCAACATCAATAATACCAGAGTCTCATTGTTATCCTAAAAGGCCTTCTAGAACGTGACTGGCCAATGTCTACAGCCCAAAGAGACGCCTTTAGTACCCCTAGGGCACTGATGTTGACTTTTCCGTCAACTCAGCAAATATTTATGAGTGTTGACTGTGCTCTTTCCTAGCTACTAGGTCTACCTAAGTGAACAAAACCAATTGGTGACTTTAGAAAGTGAACACTAGGATACACTCACCAAGAATACAACTTGCTGAACACTGTGGTAGTCTGAATATATTTGGCTCACATAACCTCATAGGAGTGGCACAATTAAGAGGGTGGCTTTGTTGGAGTAGGTTTGGCCTTGTTGGAGGGAGTGGGGGTGGGCTTTGATATCTCCTCTGCTCAAGCCATGCTCAGTGTAGATTCAGTTTCCTTCCTGTTGTCTGTAGATCAAGATGTAGAACTCTCTGCTCTTTCTCCAGCACCATGTCTACCTACATACCACCATGCCCCACTATGATAATAATGGACTAAGCCTCTGAACTGTAGGTCACCCAATTAAATGTTTTCCTTTATAGGAGTTGCCATGGTCGTGGTGTCTCTTTGGAGCAATAGAAACCCTAACTAAGACAGACACCTAACCTGTTTTTAGGGATTTAAGATAATAAGGGCCCAAGTTGAGGCAGTAGCTTCAGAAAGAGTTTAGCAACCTAGTACTCCATTTAGTTTGGACAATGTACACAATTCTTTTCTAATAACTCACTTGACAGATCAGGACCCTTACTTGCATGTACTACACACACACATACCTCTCAAACAGCACACTTAGCTACTTAGGACCCCCATCTTTATTGAGCTAACTGCATACCCCACTCCAAATAATGTAATAAATTCTTCCTCCCCTTAACAAGCAGCAGATTTAGACAGATCACATTCAATCTTACTCCAGTTGGGTTATGTCCAAATACAAGGTTAGGAGCACTGATCCAGCTGAGACTAGTTTTGGGCATATACACAGTAAGGTACACTGTGTCCTCTTTAAAACTGAACACTTAGGGAGACCCCCCTTATTTACTATCTCATTCCTATGCATGATTGGGCATGCATATAATTAAATTCAGATGCATTGTGGAAGGAACATGTGAAATAGAATAGAGCTTATATAATCCATGTCTGCTGGCAAACATGGAGAACCATGCAAAATATGCCCCCTCCTTTAGACCCTATCAAAAGAAGTCTCAGGCAACAGCCTGGGGTCCTTGAGTGACCTCTACCCTCACTCATGTAACCTGCCATCACCCCTGACAGCATAATTCTCTCTGGTCTGTACTATTACTTTGCTTTTGTACGACGTTCCCTTGGTACTTTGCAAATTCGTATGAGCCTTTGTTTCAATGCCTTGAATAGGAGCCTGAGACTCTGGAGTCACCTGGCCTAGACCCTGACAACCAGTAACAAGACTGTCTATCCTGCATCTAGATGTGTTACATTTTCAAGATAACTTAGAAGGGATGGAGGATGGACAGTGGCTTTCAGCACAGCTGCCAATAGGAACCACCAGAGAGCTTTAGAAATTGTAGGTATTATTGCCAGCCCCTAGGAGGTCCCAAGGAATGGAGATTGAGGACCATTAATGGCC